CTCTCTCTCTCTCTCTCTCCCTCTCTCTCTCTCTCGTTTGTTTTCATTTCTTTTCTTCTTCTTATTTTTTTCGAATCGATAGACTTTATAAAATAAACACGGAATTACAGCCGGCTCACTAGCAGGAGAGATGGAGGGCTACCAAAGGTAACTTAAATCACAACACACTCCAGCTAAAAATCCCACTAGTGAAGAATACACACTTCCCACCGGGAGAATTCACACTCCTAAATCTATGTTATTGTCTTTCCTTTTTAATACATAAACAATATTCATACTGTTTTGGTTTCCTGCAGATGATAATTTCTATAACTAAGATGTATTTGATGCAAATTATCTAATTTTAAACCACAAAAAATTATTTTTATGTAATAATCTATCGTTCTACTCGTTAAAACTCGATTCTGGCTCGAGCTCGACTCATCAATATTGTTAAAGGAGTCGAGCTGAAGCTCGATTATGAGCTCGTTAAGTTAACGAGACGAGCCGAACTCGACTCGTTAAGGGGCTCAAGTTCGAGCAGCATGAGCTCGAGCTCTGTTTGGCTTGTTTACACCCCTAAGCTCCATGCTATAGCCTATAAATACACCAAGTGATTCAAGTCCTTAAGGAGTTCGGCCGCCCCTCTCGTGAGAAAACAAACGCACACGTGAATTTCAAGAGAAGTGCGAGATACATGAAAGAGAGAGAAAAACAATGTTTACTAGATATGTTGGGAAAATAACACGAGGTCTTCATCCTTCCCCATAATCGATCGAGGCGAGTTCCGAAAGGGAAGCTCTGATAGACATCGCCTACCAAGACGTTTTGAAGAAGATGTGGAATATACAACAGAAGATCTCAAGGTAGCGAGGCTAGACTCCGGTTCCGTTGACCTAAGGACATTCTTTGAGTCGCCAAAATTTTAAATTGTACAAATTCAATTCTAAATTATAGATATGTTGTATTTAGGATTATTTTCGTAGATTTTCGAACATACACGTCGATCGATAGTCATCAACAAACTCAACAAATTCAATCCTACAACCCCATAAGAGCTCTAACTGTCAGAACAACAAACTTTAGCACGAGTCAGATCAACTGAGTGTATATGATCGAACGATTAAAAACCACGTGGGTGATGTGTGTGATTGAAGCAATGCCTACAATGAGCCCACCAGTGTCTATTCTTAGGCTATAAATTTGGAATCCTTAGTCTCGATAGACTTCTTCCAATTGGTGTGCATCGCTGCTCCGTAAAGACCAAAAATTGTCCCTCTCCCTGCTTCCTTATGGCATTAGGAACGACCCTCATCCAAAGCCTTGCCTCCAAATTCGAGTCCCTAATCCACAACTACCACAAAGTCTTTCAAGATTCAACATCGACATATGCCAGGTTGCGAGCCAGGACATCGAGTCCCTCAAGGCTATGGGCTAGGATTTAATCTTTTGTGCAGAAAGGAAGAGAAAATAGCATGCAAATAGAGAACGTGGAGAATGAAGATTTAAACTAGCGACAGACTTCTCTAACGCCACGACCGTTTTTTCAGTATCTACTTTCTTTCAGCTCTCGGAAAGATTTTCATCTCTTGGCAAGACAAGTAGATCCTAGCAACCATCTCATCTAACCAAGAAACCATATGCTCCACGAAAATGTAACTCAATCCTAAATGGAAGTAATAATGACACAATAAGATCATCCACATCGTTTTATAAATTTAGTTTTACTTATAATAATCGAGGATAGATCGTCTATTAAGTTGTCTAACCGTTAGAACCAAATTCTTACAACACATATACTTTCATATTCAGATGTTATACTTTAAAATATAATATAATATATATATAAAAAGAAGAATAGCATCTCATACTATCGGTATCAATTTTTCGTAAGAAAGTATATTCACCTACCGTCAAACTGCCTAACAACATTTGTGATAGACTTTAGACTTAACGTAAAATAACTAAAGGAAAAATAAATTAGACTCACTTCACTGTACTATTTTGAAATAAGTAGAGGAAAATTAAATTAGCCTCACTTCACTGTACTATTTTGAAGTTTGGTTGAAAATGAGATTTAATCAAGCATATATTTTGAACGGAAGTAATAAGAACAAAAGATTGATTTACTCAGAGATATATCACCCACAAACGTTATCTACCTAAAAATCTTTCCACCAACACGACGACAAAACTGTTTAGCAAATAGTCATACATGTGAAGGGCATTTCACAAAATCTTGAATAATGCGGCGCAGTCAGCTTAAAATTCATCCGAATTTGTAGCACCAAATCGTGAATCCCTTATTTATAAGGTTCGACTTTGCACAAAGTTCATGACAAACAATAGTTCAGACCAAATATGACTCACAGTAGTAACCACCACATATTCACAAGTGGAGGGGGGACTGACACACAATAATAGCCTCCATATTTACTAAAGGAGACGGGCAAAATAACAACATCCTATGATTACGTTAAACACAAAAACACGGTTTTAAGCAGTAAAGAAACAAAAGCCTTCTCAGTTGTCCTGTTTGAGCATCCTGAGAATTGTAAGAAACAGGTTGAGCACGTCCAGGTAAAGAGTGACAGAGGCCCATATGTACTGATCGTATGTGAAGCGCTTGATCAGATTGTCTGTGTCGTAAACAATGTATCCCGAGAATATTATGGCACCAATCGCGCTGTAGATGGCAACTGAGGTAGGCCCAAACGGGAAGAACACCTACACCGCCAATGCAGAATATGGTTTCAAAGGGTATGAAGACGAGAATGGGCATATTTACATAAACAGAGGTGACAAGTACATGTACGAATACGGCTAAGTACCAAAAAGTACCCATGAGACTACTTCTTTTATGATGATGAAAGTACAAGGTCACAGCTATCTTTCTAATTTACAGAGGCCCCATCAATATTTGCTTCCATAATATAACACCATAATATTGAGGGAATTTGTAAGGGAAACAACAAAACTCAAACTATGGTCATACTACCTCGAGTGGAGTAAATGTGATTCTGATATATTATTGGGCAGTTTTGCAATATGGCCAAACATAAAGGGTGTTCTTTATAAATGAATACTTTAGACAGACGCACACACATAGACAAAGAGGAAACCTGGATAAAGCCAGTCAAGACCAAGACGAAAAGGCTAGTAAACAAGAGTGGTCCCATGAAGCTGAAGTCCTTGCCCTTCTTGGCAGCCCAGAAAGTATAACCAGTCAGAGCTGAAACTACGGCTGATGTCAAGATCAAGGCTTCAAGCACAATTCTTCCTGTAAGCAAGTTGAAGTCAGAAAGAAAGACAAACATTATACACCGCTAGAAATTAGAATCTAGTTAGTATACCATTGAAAGTTACTAACTAACCTTCAGTGTTGGCACAGCTGACACCAACCGTTAGACTCAAAGATGCAGTAAAGAGCCCAAGGAAAACGAAGTTCAATGGGTGCTTCTGTTGATAAATATGCAAGGGCCACAACACTATGAAGGATACAGAATCATTAGAAACATCGGGAAAAGATAGGATAAAAACAAAAAAGCATAAACATGGTCACGAGTCTCGTGAAAAGATAATCAAAATGCAACTGATATCGCGGAATGTGGATGAGATTGTTCCAAAGTGCTTGTACTATTTTTTTACAAATCATTGTTATCTTATAGTGATAAGTATTTCCAAAAAATTGATCGCAGCATTAGACAACACTAAAATCTGATTCATATAATGTAAAACCAAACGTATAGGCCACCAAAATAAGTTCACATATGAGTAAAAGCATTACATACGCACAATTCCGGTATTCCAGAAAACAAGAAAACAAGTATCGCACATGAAGATAATGAAAAACACCAACTCATCAAATTAAAAAAAAAATAAAAATGAAGCATATAAACAATTCAGTATAAAGAAGATCATTTCAAGTAATTTAAAATGTTAATTCTAGCAATACTTCCTCAAAAAACAATGAAAACCACTAGGGACATGGACCTCTTCCTCACATTCTTCATCCAAGTAACCCGATTTAGTTTATCATCATCTTGATATATGGGAAAAGGCAAACTATGCATGTATGATAAATTACTGTTCACATTCTACCATTAAATAACGATCTCGAGTTTAACAACAAACAACCACCATATATTCTTACACAAGAACAGACAATTAGATAATATACATGTATCTACAACAACCGATCAGACAACGATCCGCATATCTGTTTGGAAGTTGGAACAATGTCGATTGATAAAGATGCTGGAGCAAATTGGCCAAATATTTCATTGAATTTCGCTTTAGATGTATTAACAAATCTAAAAGGAGGGGAAAAAAAAAGGAATCAGATCTTAATATTGCCTCTACAAGAAGGAGCCACCTATTTCACAAAACCAAACAATCCAGGGGCAATCTGTTATCCTTTTCAAATTAATGACAATATCGTTTGCGTAATGTACAACGAATACAGAAAATCGAAGATCAAAACTGAATAAGGTTAGGGGCTCACATATGAAGGGGGTGAAGATGAGGAACAGCAGTAGGCCTGAATTTCCGCGTAGGAGTTCGTTGATCGGAGCGTATAGCACAGTGGCGGCGGAAATGGCGGTGGTCATGAGGATCTGTGCCGTCAAGATACCGTAGACCTTGCGTATGAAGCCCCATCGCAGCTGATTCTCGGCCAGCCCGATCCCCGGATAGAGCATCTCCCCGGATTCCAGGTCAATATCTCCTCCTTTCATCCTGGCGGCGCCGCCAGAACTCACGCTGGTGTAGCCTTGCATCGTTCAGGGGTTTGGGGATCGACGAGGGATCTGATTTCTCACCTGTTTCTCTCTCTAGATGTTTTCTATCCTCTCTCTCTCTCTACAAGTTAGAGATATAGAAGACTAGCATGAGAAATGATAAAATAATAATAATATAATAATACAATACATGAGGGGGCATATTATTAGGGCTGAGTACACCGTTCCAAATATCGATCCCAACTAAAAACTACTGGCTGACGGTTTGATTTTTTTTCAAATAAAATCGAAGTGAGAAAAAATAATTGGTACGATTATCAATTATAAAGATTTCACAAATATTCATACCGATCATCGAAACGAAGTCTCGTCATCGTCAGCCTCAATAAACTCCCAAATGACTTTAAAGAAGAAGGACAAATAGTCATCTGGGTCGAATACGTTGTTGTGATCAATCCCAAAAACAACCTCCCTAACCGTTTTCCCTACTCGGGAGCTCCCAAAGGCCAACAAGGTCGACCAAAGGAGGGATGGTAGGGAAGTAAGAATCGATATGAGCATCAAGCAAGTCTCCGTCCGAGGTGAAGAGAGTCTAAAATTGCGCCATGTCTGATTCTCGTATCTGGAACTCCTGAATCGAGGGTGACCCATTGTCCTCGAATACTGTGGATATACGACCTAGCACGCTTATGCCTCATAAACCCCTGAAATAAATTGGTATTGCACTGCCCCTCAGCAACCCAACAGACGACGACCTTCTGCTTCAAGAAATCCTGCTCCATAAGGAGTTGGAGTTGGTATTCAACATGGCGGTGGCGCATCACGGTCCTATTCTTCACATTGGGATCCAGATCATAAGCCCGCCTAGTATGCGCTTACGCATTCTGCACCACAAAGAGACGCTGAAAGAGGTATTCAAAAAGATCCCGATTC